GGGCGGCTGGGGGCGGGGGGCTGCTCGCGCCTGAGGCCCATGGGTCGGCCTCCCCGAGGCCCGTGGCTGCCGTGGCTCGTCCGGGCACTTCCCCTCCCGCCGCAGCAGGGCAAGGTGACGTGGGCGTTGCCCTGAGGGGCGAGTCCAGAACTGCCCACTGACGAGAGCGGCTGCGGGACGGCCGCGCACCGCCTGTGGGCCGGGCGCTGTGCCCCGAGCGTGTGCCTGCCTGCGGCGTCCCTGTCCCCCTCTCTGCGCCTCTGCTCGAACTACCTGGTCCCCGAGGCAGTGTCGTGGGGGTCTGGTTTCCAGGTGCCAGGTGGTGTCCCTTGGGCGCGTGAGGCCGCGGCCTGGACAGCACTGACTGCCCCCGGCCGAGGGAAGAGCGGGTGAGGCCGCGGGGGGCGAGGCGTCCTCCCTCACACGCCCCAGGAGGACGCCTCGGTCGCCGCTGTCCGGGCAGTGCCGCCCGTGGCGTCATTTTGCCGAAGCAGAGAAAGACCCTTCCTGGAGGCTCCGCAGGCCGCCGGCGGGCTGGGGCGCTGGACCTCCTGCTGCCCCGGGAGCCTCAGCCCGGCCCCCTCGGCCGCTGCAGTGCCCGAAGCCCTGACCTCCGTGAGCCCCGCGGCGCGGCACGTGGCGTCTGGGGAACGGGCGCCACGTCTGTGGGGGACCTTGCTGGAGGCGGCCTCCACAGATTCCCCAGCGCGGAGTGGGAGGTCGGTCTGGGCGATTCCCGGGAAGGCCGCGGGCGCCGCTCCCTGCAGCGGCAGCCAGGCCGCGGCCACCTTGCCCAGAGGCCTGCGTCCCTCCCCGAGGCGGACGGCGCTGGCCGAGACCTAGCGCGGCCCCGCCCCCACTCGCTCTAATTTCACGGGCGGCCGCTGCCTCACCTTTCGGGGCCCGGGCTCCTCAGCTCGCACGGCCTCTCCTGCCCCCAAAAGGAACCGGGACCCCCAGAGCCCTTCCTGAGACCCTCAAGGTAAAGTGGGCGGGCGGAGTTCTCAGCTGCGGCCGCGCCCCTGGGAGCAGGCGGGCGCTGAGAGGGCTGCGCCCGGGCGGGCCAGGCGGGCGGGCAAGGACGCGGCAAGAGCCGGACCTTCACGGCGACGCTGCCACCAGCCCAGCACTAGTGTCGGGCGCCGTCGCTCCACGCAAGTCAGGCAACAGTGGCACCAGTGGGCGGGCGGCGCTTCCCCGCGGGGGTGGGGGTGCGCCTGGCTGCCGCCGCGGCAGGGGTGCTGGGGTGCTGCTGGGCCCAGCCAGCGCCAGGGCCGCGGTCCCCTGGCGTCGCGCGCCCTCCTCGGTGGTCAACTGGCCACTTACCAGCCAGGGGGAGGCGCCTGGACCTGGGGGCACGGGCCGCCCGAGCCTCCGGCCAGCGACTGAGCGCCCCAGGGGTTCTGCAGGGCGAGGAGAGCCCAAGGCCGCGTGCTCAAGCGGGCGGCTGCGCCCACGGTGCTCAGGGAACAGGAGCTAGAGCGGGGCCGAGTCGAGTGTGCGTGGAGCGAAGCGCGTTCACCGGGGCTCCGCTAACCGCCGGCGGCGGCCTTGGCGCCCGCAGGCTTGCCGAGGGCCGGCTGTCCCGCGGGG